ATGTCACTTTTACTGTAACTTTCAAAATTCCACAAATCCCTTTTATTTAAGGGTAAAATATTTTATATTCTGAAAACCCCCAATTTCAAATATTTTCTTTTATTTAATATTTACAATATRTACTTAATTTTATACCATAAGTAAATGAAATAATACATATACTTTTTTTTYACTTGAGTGACATAAGCCGGGGACTATCCAATGATAGAACCCAAAATTATTTAAATACCCAGCTTTAAAAATCTCAATTCTAGTATAATATTTTCAAATGACTGTGTTATATACAGAATACATTTAAATCATTGATCTTATTTATTATAGTTAACTCTTTCATGGTACCTACAATTACAAAACTCAGATATAATTTGCTTAATAACCGTATTGTTTATCAAAATTAATGTAGTCAGAGTACCATGTGATCATTGKCATATTAATAATAGAAGAATATAATAACTTCATTTATTTTTTATTTCATTATTATTATATTTCTTATTAATGTTTGGYATTAAATGTTATAAATTAGTTAGTCTTAGTATTTTGTAGTTTTGTTATATCTTCATGCGCAATTAATAAGCTGTTATTTTATGATTGTTAAAATATAATATTTTAAATAGTAGGTTCTGGCATTAATTTAATTATGAAAAAATAATATGGTTCAAGTGTAGATTATTATCTCAATTATTTTTTTATATTATCATATTATATTATTCTAATGATTTTGTGCGTCCACGTGTTCATCAATAACTGATAATAAATTGAAGTATATTTTACTATTTCATTTTTATTTTCTAAACATTTATGAAATCTCATTATATACTCTTAGACTAGGTATTATTTAATAATTTCAACATTATCTATACTTATTAAGTTCTAAAACTATATAAAATAAAAAAAAGTTATTTATTTGTATGATAGATATTAGTATAATTGTTGTATATACATATTTACATACATAATTTATAGTGTATAATGTGTTTTTGGTCTCACTCAATGACTATAAAAAATATTAGATAGACATTTTAATTGTTATTCGGTCTTTTATTTCTTATTATTATCATAGTAATTAATCTTAATTCTTGCCATACATTCTTTAAAAAGTAATGTAATTTTTTTCAATACTATTCCATTTAATAGAAAATATTAAAAATGAACTATTGCTAATAGTTTGTGTTTAGGTTTTAAAATAAACATGTTCTTTTTTAATTTCTTAAAATAAATTGTATGMATTTTTTATGTTATAGGATGAATACTTAAGCTTTGTTGCACGTTTATTATTACATGTAGGTGGAAGAGATATGAGTAAGTATTATAACATTATGTTACTATTATTTAAAATTAATAATCATTATTTACAATTATGATTTATTTTATAGGAGGTGGTAACCAAATGATGAATATGAACCAAAACCCTGGCCCTGTAAATGCAACAACATGTATGAAGTTAAAATTAAATACAATCAAATAACTATTGTAAACATTTTACATTAATTTCAGTGTTGCAAACATTAAACAATCGACCACAAACCCAAAATAAATTACCTGGACAAATGACAATGGGACCCAGTCCAATGAATCAAGGTCCACCATTGAGACCTGGTGGACCTATGGGTCAAGGACCAATGATGCAAAATCCTAATACAGGTCCTATGGGCAATCAGATGGGTCAACAAGGGCCTCCTATGCCTATGTCTTCAGTCATGGGTGGTCCACCAATGCAGGGTATGCCTGTTCAAATGCCTGTACAAGGGATGCCTGTACAAGGGATGCCTGTACAAGGGATGCCTGTACAAGGTATGCCAGTACAGGGTATGCCTGGGGTTGTTCCGGGTAATATGCCATCAAATACTATGGGTCGAATGCAACCAAGAAAAGTAATACTGTATAATAATTTAAACATACCATCATGTATTATGATTTGTTAAAATACTAAAAATATATCTAATTTCTATTAAAAAGTTCTAACACTGCGCTCGATAATAGTGTTTAAAACCGATCATTTTCCAACTTTCCTCCCCTCCCCCATCATTTTATCATTTAATTTGTTAGTATATTTAAATTGTGTAATAGATAGATTTACTTKAGAAATTGAACATATTTTATTTTGATTTTAAGTAACATCTAGAGAATATTTGATAAAACAAAAGTCTATGATCTAACTTATTAAGTCAACACATCAAACTCCCAAATACTGAGCTTATTTTTCTATTTTTAAGATCGAGTACTTTTAGACTGTAGTTAATTAATATTTCTAGTGTTATTGAAAGATTGCTTGAAAGATTTAATTTTTCTTATAATTCAAAAAAAAAATAAAAATATGATTCATAATTTACTAATGTTGTAATTACAACCTATTAATTTTTATACGCCAATCTAAACGAGTGACTTATTTATAACATCATTAATACTATATATATTGATGACTGATATTAATATTTATTGTATTTCAACTAGATGCCTGTTGGTCCAGAAAATGTGATGATGATTCCTAATCAACCTGTAGTTGGAGGTTATCCAGCAGGACCACCAAGGTCTGTAGCGAGTAATCAATTTCTTAGCCACAATAGTCCTTCGTCACCTCAACAATCTCCTGTTAATGTTCTTCCATCTAGGTAAATATTTACATTTTAATAAAATGTATTGTTCTTAAATGGCTAACACTAATTGTCATGGAGGGCTATAGTCCTAATGTAGTAGTGATATGACATAAATCTGAATTTCAGGGAACAGAATCCAAATTACAGACTTTTAAATTTTAGTGTTTTATATGCCAATTTCTACGTTTTAAATCAGGAAATTAAATTTTTTGATAACATTTTAAAGTCTTTGAATACAGAGCAAAATTCTTATTTAAAAAATTGTGCTTAATAATTGTTTGCATGTAAGATATTTACTAAGATATTTATTTGTTAATTAAAAATGTATTTGTGTAAGTAGTATTTTAAATATAAATTATTATAAGCTGGTAAGATAATGATGATATGAGTTACCCTTTTGATACTCTGAAATGGAAGTGGGTGTATAACACATTTAATCATAAATTTGATACAATTGAAAGAAGTTAGTGGCTAATACAAACAATTTTGAACTCTCGATACCAGATCCTTATATCCTATTCTACAGCATAGTGGGTTACAGGTTACTACTATGTCACAAAAACATTATTATTTTGAAATTGATTTGAATATACTGGCAATAATCATTTTATTTTACAATATTATAAAGTGTTGAGTAATCAGTTATATAACTTATATATTTATTATTATATAAAATGAGTTTATTAATGTTAATTTGTATGATTTTAGTAATCAAATGATCGGTTCACCAAGTGGTCCTCAATTAACTCCTGGTGGCCAAATGAGTGGACCTATTAGATCAATTGGTATGTCTATTTAAATTAAAGCCGTTAAATTTATTAATTTATTTGAACAAGGTACAAGTTACTTTTATTTTAAGTATCTATTAGRTGACATTAACTAAGTGCAAATCCATTATAATTCTAAAATTGGACTACAATATAAATTAAATATTAAAAACAAGTACATATTTTATGATCACATTGCTCAGTACAGTAATATAATTTATAGAAAGTAGCTTCTCTTAATAATCATGTTTGAAAAAATCTAAATAAATGTGTGTATTATAAATTTTTCAAATTAAATTAAAGTAAGCATTATTGTTTTTTGATAATTATAATTTACTTTTAATAATCATCTCTATCAGTCTAGCGGCACCAATCACCTAATTTAACTATGAATAACACCATAGTAGATTTTTATATGGGGGGGGCAAGAGGTCTACTGTTGGATACTGCAGGGCTCAGACTGTGGATCCAGAATTGCCAAATTTTTCTAGATTTTTGATTACAGAATGATAAGTATTTTTAAATAACATGCAAAAAAATTTTAAAAAATTGTTCTTCTTTGTTTATCCGTTATATCTAATTTTGTCCTAATTTTAACTTAAAAATCTATCAAAAAAAACAGTGTTTATGTATTTGGAGCCAAGAAATAAAGAACCATAGTTTATAATATAAGTCTATAACCTAACCTAACCAAACTTTGGTGTTTTCTCAATCACTCTATCTTGTCCCTTGTGAACTGTCGGCAAGCATACTCCCTATACAATAATTTATATATCTATGGATGCAACCGTAAATCAAAACAAATTTTAACAAAAGTCGAAATGAATTAATAAAATATAACTTATACTTTTTGACATGATAAATTTTAAATATTCATGTTAAAAATGTTCAATAATGATTTACATAACTTTGATATATATACAACATATATGTATATATGTGCTATTTATTACCCTTTGTGTGAATTAATTTTTTAGGTAACGTGCCATCACCAGGTAGTTCAGTTCCATCTTTAAACACTCCTATGAACCCATCATCTAATGCTGGTCCAAGTCCTCTGGCTCAGGAAGACATAGCATATAGAGAAAAAGTTAGGCAACTAAGCAAATACATTGAACCTTTACGAAAAATGATTGCACATATGGGGAATGAAGGTAAAATAATAATTTTATCACTATCTACATATTAACTGCTATTATTAATTTAAATCTATTATTATGATAAMAATACATTTTTATCATAATAATGAATAATTGTAGATGTTGAGAAATTAAGCAAGATGAAAAAGCTTCTAGAAATACTGTCAACCCCCACCCAACGGATGCCTCTGGAAACTTTGTTGAAATGTGAAATTGCTTTAGAAAGATTAGATTTAAGCAGAGTAATTACCTTTTGTTTATTTCAAACAGTTTTCCAATGTTTCTTTGTTAAAATAATTAAAGTTATCATTAACTTTAGGCAGAAGGTGGAAGTGTGCCACCCCCACAATCATCTACTATGAGAGAGGTGCATCCGTTAATTGAAGTCATTGGGTCRATGATACAATCTCCAAACTTTAATCATACACTCCACAGAACATTTGCTCCTTGTATAGAATTTATGGTGGGCCAAAGACGACCTTTGTAAGTTGTATTCCTTAATTTTAATAATGTTATTGATWGCTTAATTAATTATTAATTGCATTTTAAAGGTCACCACCACCATATGCAGGAAATGAAAATTCTAACGAAGTTCAAAGCATCATACCTAAAGCATTAGAAGGTGAAATCGCTAGACTCGATCAACGTTTTAAGGTTAAAATAAACATTTTAGTACAATGTAACAAATTTTCATGGTATCAAAATATGACATATATTTTCTCACCTAACATTTGATTTTAGGTGTCTTTAGATCCTGTTCGTCCTAGCGGAGTTTCTTGTATCCGCCTGTTGTGTTGGTTGGATGACAAAAATCTGCCTTGTGTGCCCCCAATTAACATAATTGTTTATGAGAATTATCCCCCTGCAAATCCTGCTTGTATAATTTCGTCCAACGACTATGGTGGTACATCATTCCTTATGTGTGTTAAAGATGTGTTTGAATCAAGGATGATGTTGATGCCAGTCCGTTTTACAGTGTCTCATATACTTGACTCGTGGGAAATGAGTGTTAGGCAAGCAGTAGCTCTTCTACTCGATAGCAAAGATTCAATTGCCAATAATTGAACTTAGTAAACCTCATATTTCCTGAACTCAAAATTATACTCATTTTATTTTGTTGTTATTATTGTAATTACTTTTATTTGTATAACCAGCAACCATTAATATTATGTATATTTAATTATTAGTCATTTTTTTTTTAAATCGATGTATAGAAAATAAAGTACAAATATGGGTAAAAAAAAATAATAAATTTATGATCAAAAAACTGTTTTAACATAATTATTAGTAAAGTGTTAAAATTCAACACATTTTTTGTAAAACCAATCTGCAGGTGATGTAAACTTCAAATGTATTATTTTTTTTTTTTATTGGAATAAAAGGCTTCAACATCACAGATCATTAGCCTACTAAAAGTAATTTTATGTGGAGACATTTCTCCCATATTTTTTTATATTTTAAATTTCTATCTTTTAGTCTCTTTTACTTTTGTGGTTATAACCACAATAATTAAGGGTAAAACAAGAAAAATTATATTATTTCAGCAATATTTCGGTTACTAAGTTATATCAATATTGTTTTGTATTGTAACTTTTGTTGTTAATATAAGCTATTTCATCATTGTTTTGCCCATATTTGGATCTCTTTCAGTACCGGATCTAGGGGGGGGGCGATCCAAGGCCCATGCCCCGGGCGGTTATCATAAAGGGGCGCAAATTTCAAATTTAAAACTCATCATTTTTATGATTTGGTGACTTAGGGGCGCTAATATTATGTTGTGCCCCGGGTTGCATAATTTGTAGATCCGGTACTGATCTCTTTTATTATATATTTATTTATTTATTTTTCAAAAATATGTATTTTTAAATTGTTGATTTATAGTAAGGAGTWAATAATTGTTTCAAAATAAAATATATGAATTTTGATACTTAATTTACCAATCATAATGACTTTTTCTTTTCCATAAAAGTGTTCATGATAATCTCTAATTTTTTATTTCAATTCAATTTTTTTTATTTAAAGACTGCATAACCAAAATGTAAACCTAGGACATAAATGTGAAAAACTCATATAATTAAAATAAATTGATTATAATCATTCATACMATTATTGTCATTCTTTAAAATTGTCTATCTCTGAGATCTGGGAAGCAATGAATGTGAAAGCCCAATGTTAATTGGATCACAAATTTAGTTAACACTAATTTGATAGGCTCACAGCAAGATAAGCTGTCTTTGAAATATGTATTGGTTTAAGCACTTCAATTTATACTTTATATTTAAGCTGAAAGATGTTAATTTTTATTGAGGCAGTTCACTTAATACTGAGTAATGTATAGTGGTGGTTCTTTTCACAAAAGTTTCAACAACGGCTGCAAATATTTTGGTCAATTATCATTAATTATACATTCACACCTTATGGTTAGGTTTTTGGTTCAAAACTGATTGTTCGAGACCAAGGAATATTGCGATGACTTGGTGAAATGCGTCTGTATAGCAAGATTTTCAAGAAGAAAAATAAGATTTGTGTAATCTTATCGATCATGRTTAAAATATACCACCTTGTTATCGACAAAGAATAGTTACATAAYATAGAGTAAACTATATACTGACTCGTATCAAAATCTAAGTTGTGATACGAGTTGTTAATAATCACTTGTATACTGTTAGTGTAACTTGAACGCTTAAAATTGTTCTGATATGTATCGATACACTCCAAATCTTCCCCAAAATTCATATATATAAATGAATTTGCGATTCGAATAACCAACGCTTATTGATGCAGGAGCCCTTTAATTGATTATTTTGTTAAATACTAAACTACAAAAGAATCTTTAAAATACTTAATAAGTGTCCACTTATGGGTACCACTTGTTTTAATCTAATTTGTTTTTTTGCTTCTTGATATTCCTTTGCTTTCAGACACCCATGTAGTGTGTAACCTCCCTATTTGAATAGTTTTTACTTTTTTTGGTTTTAATTTGTTCGTTGCAAGCAACCACATTCTCCAACTAATTTTTTTTCAATAATTGAACTCTAGTTGTTCTTTTAATATCAATATTTAATACTTTGGAGCATTGTTTTATGTTTTATACACAAATTTAAGTTTAACCTTAACTACAGTTGATTATTTTGTATAAATTGCTCAAATATTGACCACCAGGTGAGCCCTGAACATATGATACCTAATTAGTAATTAAAATAATATTTTGTATCTTTTTAACTAGTTATTTATACTTTTTTTAGAGTAAATATGTTTTTTTGCTAGGTACAGATATTTAGATTTTCAAATGCAAATTGACAAGAAAAAATTATACCTACATTACTATTACATAATATATATATATGAGTTATAAATTTACTTAGAAGTGGAAAATATCTAGTACTATGCAATGTTGCTTTTGAAATCATCTTTAGTATTTTTAGTTGAACAAAAATTTAGGTGTAAATTTAGTATTTACTGTTATTTTTTGAGTATCTGAAGTATGAATTTTATCAAAGCTCTTCAAAATCAAAAAAATATACACAATTTCTTTAGTTAGAATTTTATAAAAATGTCTTTTTACGCATATCCTTGATTTAAAATCTTATATTATATATTTTTTACAGTTATTTATAATTTGTATTAATACACAACTGCATACCTGTAATTAATAACTATAGTATAAAATATAAAATTATGCATAAAAGTATGTATATTAAATAAAAATAAATAGCAAAATACAAAAAAAATAATTAAAGTCTTGTATCTCATTTATATTACAGTCACTTTTAAAATAAATATTACACTTTTGAAAAATATATTATTCCTTTTTAACAAACATTGCATACACTATGCATGTCTTAAATTTAATGATATTATATTATTTACAAAATGTAATTTTCTTATGATCTAGAAGGCTTAAGTAAGGTTATAAAAAATCAGTATTCCATTTCGACTACAATAACATACAAATTGAAAATAATTGGGAATATGATAATATTATTACATTTTTTTTTTATTATTAAATAATATTAACAAGTAGTCTGACCTTGGTTCCTTATTATCTTATAGACACAAGACATATCTTAGACACTCATTATTTAGGGTTAATGATATATAATAAATTTTCTATTGTAAATGAATATAAATAATAATAAAATAATATTAATTAATTAAGTGAAAGTAATAAAATATCAAACAACGATATTAATTTCAACATTTAATATCCAAAATTAACTTATTTTTTTGAATAATAATTATTTATAAATTATGAACACTTAATTGATAAAAATAATAAAAATTATTCATTAATTAATGATTTAATCACAAACATAAAAAAAAAACATCTTATAAAGCATATTGCAATAGGAAAATAATTGTTTAATAAATGTGGTWAGGTCAACATTAAAAAACAAAATAAAACAAAAATTAATCTATCTCTGAGTCTTTGTTCTATAGTACTATTTTACATTCAAAATCTTTTTTAATCACATAATTAGCAACAACTACAGTCCACGCATGACCATCAACTATTTTACAATACTTAACATATGAATCCATATTTGAATCTCGATTTACCATAAAAATAGTATTGTGCTGAKGCTTACATGCAAATTTCTAAAAAAAAATTTAATTAATTATAAAAATTTAATCTTAGTATAAAATAGTATATGTATAATAGTATTTACCGGTGTTAATGTATTTTTGATTTCAAATACATAATGTAGATCATCTTTATTGGCATCAGACATTGTACCAAAACATTGACTAAAAAATAAATAGACACTTAATACATTAAAACCGTCTAGTCCATCGTTTCCACCTGATACCATATAGTGTCCACCATGCCATCTTTGCACTTCAATATTTACTGGAATTAAAAAATTTCAYCATTAAWAATAAAAACAAAAATAGTGTAARTTGATATTTAACAATAACTTTCAATATTTAACTTACCAGCAAGAAATTCCAGACCTGTGCAGTCTTTAAAAAATTGAAACATGCGTTGAGTTTTTAACAAATTAACAACAGATAAAACTGAGCCTGGCAAATCTTTTAAATCTACATATTTGTAATGCCTAAAATAATAATAAATATGTATAAATGTCTAAATAAATAACACAGACTAAACATCTACCTTTTGTTTAAAGGTCCTCTGATTTTCCAATTCATGCCATTGGAAAATATTTCATTGGATAAATAGTCTACCATCTTACGTGTGAAGAATCCCTCGCACATTATGAAMCCATCTTTTTTGAATGTTTCTTTAATAGCTTCTCTAAATAATGGTTTTTCAAATATTGATTCGATGCATTTTTTGGTAACTTTATCACACTGAAACACAAATTGTTATTAGTAAATACTAAAATCAGACGAACTTTGGCAGTCAAAGCAATAAACAGTGTGCAGCCATTCTGTAATGTGTTGCATAATATCTTATCAATTAACTTTTAAAAGGACACCATACCCCATATGTGTTGTCTTTATATTACCGACATATAACACAGAACATTTTACATGCTGAATAATTAATTTACAAGGTAAAGTTTAATTTTAAAGAAAATTGACTTATTACCAAATTTAGAAGTTAGAATACTGTCTAATTGATGTCGTAAATTCTTTTAATRTACTTATTTAATTTTAAAGCGAGTTATGGGCAGTAACGGATTGGAATAAAATTCGGCCCGGAAAACCTATACCTAAACCGGCCCTTTATGAAACAAAATATACTCAAATTTAGTTACACAAATATATTTATATATTTATAACCAATTAATACATTAATTCTTTAATAAATGTTTTAGAGGTACTAGCTATAATAGTAGCTACTTTATTGATTATGTTATCTGTGTCTATATTATAAAGTACTTATTTTTTGACGTACATTAACATAAACGCCTATTTTAGATTYCGATAGTCTGTTTTTAATACATTTTAATATCTAAAATGTTCACTCACATGCTACCTACGCAAAACGCAAATGGTATGAATCAATATTTATAGTGTATTTAAATAATTTATAAAATATATATGTACCTGAGTTGATGGCAGTGTTAAAAGATATTTGTACGCCAATCCTAAATTACTATAAGTCCATGCTACACATGGTTTAAATTTATAACCAGGGCTCGTAAGTTCATGCATCCGCATGTTTTTTCTGCTACACAGGAAAACATGCTAACTGAGATACAAATCCGTTTCATAACAGTAGTAACAATAATATAAAGTTTAATAGTGCATGTTTTTGCATGTTTTGGGTGTTAAGGTATATTTGGCATATAGTCGATTTTTTAGAGTTGTTAGCGCATATTATTTCATAAAAAAATTTTTTAGACAAATATTTGAAAAGTTTCTTGTTTCTTATTTATTTCACCGTTTACAAAATGATAGTATTTCTATTTATTACCAACCTATTATTCTCCTGTGACTACCTAGAATAGTCGAAGAAATCCAAGACACATTTACAAAATTAGAAGGACATCACGGAATTGAAATTAAAAAAAAACTAAAATATGTTTTCGACAAAAATATYGGGTACAACATAATTTGTAAAATKTCMAAAGTTTTGAGTGGCGWAGAAGACAATATTGCAAATTTAGATCTACCTGATGATATGACTGCAAACGATTTATTGTACTTCAAATATGTACCACTTACTTCAGCAGATGTAGAAAGATCTTTTTCTATGCTCAAAAACTTATTGATAGRCAATCGCCGATCTTWTAAGTTGGAAAACATAAAAAAAATGCTAATAATACAGTGTAATTTCTTAAGTAAATATAATTTTTATAAATATTATACAAATATATCTCAAAATGAAATACCTAATATTAA